TGTGCAATTGTGAGGGCTAGAAACATACATGTTTATTTAAACGTTAAAGCTGATATTTGCACTTAAGTATTGCTATCACCGTTATGATTGATGATGTTTATTACAGTAGTGCCAAGGGGCACTAGAGTGAAGTGCAAACGCAGAGTAATGGCTTCTTGTGCAATCACATCACTCCAGAACCTGGGTTTTAAGAGGCCTACCAACAATCATGAGACCCACAATAAAACTGTGAGTTGGCAACTCTGCATATAGGCTTTGATTGTGCCTTTAACGCATTGGCCCTTGTTGGGGGCTCTGCAGAGCTGCACTGCCCCAGGGGAGTTCCAGAAATCAGTGCTTCAAGAAGGATCAATGCCTCCCAGGACAATTAGTGCACCAGGAAGCATACTCACTCCCATAGCCTTTAAAGGGGCACTTCCCATCTCAGCTGGCAGCTCTGTCTTCCTGTCTCTCCCTGAACTTAGCTCTAGCCCCTTCCCTTCCTCACGCTGATGTATTCCCATCCCCAGGCTTCCTCCCCCTTTCGTTGTTCGATGTTTTTGCTTTCTCAGCCCTCCCCACTAGTATGTTGTTGCTCAGAATGTGCCTCAGTTTGCCCCCATATAACCTCCTCTTTTTCTCCCTACCAGGGTTTCTGAGGATGGTGAGCTAGGTTCACACTCCTTCTTCTTCCCACTGCCTAACATGCATGTTGCCTGCGAATGAAGTATTTACTTCATTGTAATGCCCCCACCGCAAGTGGCCAGAGGCCTCACTGGAAGCTCAGCAGGGGAGCAAAAGTCAGCTAGGAGAGAGCACTCAGCAGCTTGAGGACTGCCACAGCTGCAGATTGATCCTTGGACCTCCCAAAAAGCAGTACATGGGGCCCACGACTCTGCCTCCAAGGCTGGCCCAGGACAAATGAGCCATGACAAACTTTCAGCCCCAGCAGCAGGTTTCCATTTCTAAGTATAGCTCCGCAATGGAAAAGGCTTGAAACTTACTATTTCTAAAAAGGAATGTTGACGTTAGCACTGGGCCATAAAATCAGCAGGCCTGCGGCTCTAGCCCTCTGGCACATCCTAGCTGTCCGTGCATTTGCATTCCTGAAGTAGAATCAGAACTAAGGCCGTGTCTACACCAGGATTTGTTGGCAAACATTTCCCACCATTGATCCCACTGCTGAAGCAACGCAATTGTTAGCGATGGTGGGAACACAAATTTGAATATGGTGACATGGCTGCCAGGGTTTTCAGCAGCATGAGCTATTAGCCATTACATTTGATGCCTCTGTGCACTCTGATAGCACAGAAGGTCTGTAAAGTCAGTGGAAATGGCTCCCAAGAAATACCTCCAATATAAAGGGGTTCTCCAGACATAGGGAGCACCTTGGAGGTGTGGTCAGAATGTACTGAGGCAACAGCTGTAGCTGTTGGAATCGCCATTTGAGGTCATTACTATACGTAAAATAGAGCCATTCTAATTTATGCCAAAACTCTGGCTAAAATACAGGGAGACGTAAAGGTGGCTTAATTCCAGCTTTGACCCTACTCTATTTCTGTGCCAAGCACAGCTTGAGTGGGGTGCAGTATCAGGCCCCACATCATCTAACCCTGCTCAGAGCAGATCTAAGTGACATGATGGTAAAAATGCTGGCAGACACAGGCACCTTGATTATGCTAGTGTTCTCATGATTGCTACCACTTGTGGAGCTGCCCTGGTGTTAGCAGCAGTGGGAAACTTTTGCCAAAAATCCCGTGTAGACTGGTCAATGTCTATAAAAGCACTGAGTGTGTGTCTACGGTGAGGACAGAGCAGTGAGGTCTGATTTGAGTATGCTTTTTATTAAGGAACCTGTTTTAAATGTCTTAAAAAATAAAACAAAAATGCATGGATGCCTTGCTCAACACCAGGAAAGAAAATGAGCAGGAATAGTGCCTATTTCCATAAGCTGCTCCCTTCCCTTCTCCCCCCACCAAAAAACAGCTGCAACAAAACTTCAGTGCAAAAAGCCTCAGCCATGGAAATTTTCAGCTGTCTCTCAGTGCCCACAGTAATTTTACAGTGCAGTTAGGGGTTAAAATGAAACAAACAACTGAAGGCCATTTTTTCCAGGGTTACAATTATCAGCTAAATAAATACTGGGTTTTTTTTTTTAATTATCTACTAAACACACCACTGGCAAAAACAAAAATGTTTGAGGCAATACTGAATCAAACATAGGTGTGTTTGAATGCAGCCAGTAGCTTGTGTAAGAAGGTCTGTACAGGAGGTGGGGTGGAAATGAAGGAGAATGATTGGACAGTCCCTCAGTACATTCCCAGAAATGCTACTTGAGACTGGCATGCTACTCAAAGGCTAGGTGCTGAAAAAAGTGTAATTTATTAGCTGAACTCTCTTTCTCTCCCCATCCCCTTGCAACAACTAATCTCATTTTTCTTCTGCAGAGTTTCTTCCCACATGTAGCCTGAGTCAATCAAGGCACCTACATTTATAAAGGCACACAGGGACTATTCTTGAGGGACAGAAGACCTGCTTGCCATATGGGCAGAGCCCGGTGGTGCTCCCCTTTTTGACTATGGGGGTTTTGTCTTTGACATCAGTGTGAGCAAGGTCAGGCTCCTCAGAAGTTAATATATCCTCTGTGTAGAGAGGAGAGGTGAGCTTTGTATTCCCGCCCTTTAACAAGAAGTAACAATGAGCTGTCTCCCCTTATTTATCTGTATATTCCTTTTCTCCTGAAAGGTAAGCATTTCACACTGTGTGCGACTGAGCTTCCCTCCTTTTTTTGGAGGTCTGGGTAGTTAAACTGATTCATTTAGACCTTATTCTGGTCTTCATATCTGGTTTCCTCCTTACACTTGCTTCAGCTCTGGAGGAATGGCAACAGCTGTGAGGGGCATACTACTATCAGCACATTCTTTGGATGGTCTCTATATGGGGTTTCATTTTAACCTAAATAAACCTGCAGGCACTCTGAGGAAAGGAAAAGAGAACACGTTAATGATTCTTCTGTTGATATTTTGGCAGTATATTTTCCTCAACATTTTCTAACACCTGCTCCCAAATTCTACCTTTCCCCACAAATATATTTTAATGCTAAATCATACTGCAGCTTAAGTTTCACTTATTGATTGCAGTTCTCAATACAGTGCCTTCCATTTTATTCAATCAATGATCACATTTCATCCTCTATTTAATTGGATTAAAATTTCTCAAACCAAATAGTGTGTATTAAGAACAACACAAATGCCACTCCTTGGGCTTCAAAGGCACACAGCCAGGAAGAGGGGAGGGCAAAGGTGATTTTAAGCCACCTTTGCACCCCTGGATTCCAGGACTTGCTGGGGACAGGAGTGGTCGCTTCTGTAATTTGCAAAAGCCCTGCCCAGACCACCTGTGGACTACTCTGCACCCCAGAGTAGTGTTAAGCTGTGGCCGCTCCCTCTCTCTCCCCTGTCCTCACGCAGGAATGTCTCTGTGAAGGGCCACAAACGTCAGCTCTGGTCTAGTCCTGAAGGGAGGGGCAGATTCCCCCATGAGCCATTTGAGACCCTTTATGAGCCCTCTAGGCTATTGCAGCAGTATTCAGGAACTGCAGGGTGTAAAGGTGTCAGAATCTGGCCCTCTATTTGATCCACTTTAATTACTTCTAAGCAGGTAGCGCTGGAAAATAAATCACTGCCTATAGAAAGATGCTACTTAATAAGAGGGCTCATTCAGAATTTGGTCTAAGCAGAAGGAATCCAAAGAAAACCCACAATTATTAAACAAAACAAAAAAACTATGAAAAAAAGTTGTATTCACGGATTGTTACGGACATTACAAATACTGCCATGTGATGCCAAGATATAACATGCACCCTGGTGGACATATGTATAACAAGATCAACAGTTCATTTCAAACCAAGTGATCAGAATGGGAGTGAATGAAATAGCAAGTAGGTACTGTGTTTCTATTGGTGTGATAGGGAATTAATGGCTCAAATTATTAACCAGCATGTTAAGGGCCACAGTCTTGTGTTTTAGCTGTATTTCCCAATTACATATCAAGGCTGAGATTTTCAAAGCTGAATAAGGGATAGGACATGGAGACACAGCTGCCATTAAAATTACACAAATATGCATCAATTCAGAATAAATTTATACACTGCAACACGGGAATCCAAACCTCTAAATACTTATTCACACAAATAGTTCCATTTACTTTTATGCGACTATTTACATAATTAAGGATAGCTGCATGAATCAAAGTTTGTAGGAATGCGTCCCAGACTATTGATGCTCTACTGTTGTGTTTTTATAGAAAAGTTCTTTCTAAAACAGGCAGATGCCAATAAACAGCATAAAACTATCAACATGCATGGGCAATAGTATAGTTTTGGGTTTTCAATATTTATTTGCCAACAGAAATCCAAGGCTATTTTACATATTTTTTACTTGTTGCTACAATGCAGCATTTTTAGCACTTTGCAAAGATGCATTTAACCTATCAGCCCTATGCCACTTTCCAGCATGAAATTAAAGCATGATTCAAAGTCACTGAGAATCTTTCTGTTGACTTTAAGGGATTGACCCAAAGACACTAATGCACTGAAGTGAGGAATCAATAGTAGAGAGTGCAGAAAGAGCAAAGATTTTCTTGGAGAATTTCATTATGAATCAATGGTGTTAAAAGCACAACATTTTGACACATTTCTGCTCAGTGGCAGCTTTGCCACATGAACAGAGCAAGTTAAACTAGGACAGGAAAGTATTTATTGCATGACTGACCTCTGCCTGTAGAGTCTACATATTTTCTAACTTATAAAGGGTAGAAGAAATCCTAGAACTAGCTTTAGCATAGATTAATTATCAAACTGCTAAGATATCCCAAAATCTCTCTTTCATCCCAAAACACAAAAATATCAATTAAAAAAAACATATACTGAATTTGTAATGGAGTAATATTTTATTATATATTATTGATCTTAACTGAATGTTGACTGCTCAACTAATATGTACTGCTACAAGACACTGAGGTGGAAAGAAACCTTTTTATTTTATAACCAAGAGTCATCCAGTTTCTGAATTCTGATGTCTTTTCCAGACAAGTGTCTATTTAGAGCAGGCAAGTTAACACTCTTGACAATCAGCAACAAAGCACCATCATTTCCTTGTTAAAAGTAATCTGATTAAGAACAGAAGAAGCCATTTGAATAAAACTTGAACAATCAATATCCAGCTCAAACTCAAAACAAATTTGGATTTTTTAAAGGTTTTATAGTTTGTGTTTTTTATAAATAGACATATCTGCTCTTCCTGGGTTCAATTGGGAACATACGTAATGAAATAAAGAAAAAAATACCGTAATTGTGGAATTTTTGCCCAGGAGAAAACCAGAGAATTTTGGAAATCTCACAAGAAAAAGGAAATCTCTTTGGTCAGGAAATCAGGCTAAATTCAGATATGATGATTATCTGATGCCTATTTGAAGTGAACTTCAAAACCTTTTGAGGTTTGCCCATTACTAACAAGAATTCATCAGATAACACCTTTCATTTGAAAGCATTTTGGACTCTATCCTGCAAGGTACTGAGCATTGTAGCCCACATACAGCAAAGCACTTAAGCATGTGTAAAATTTTCAATACATGAGTAATCCTATTGATCCTAGAGAACTCAGATCAAGACCTTTATTATAAACAGTGTACGTACAGGAATCACTTCTTCCACTAATGAAATGCAACTAGTTCTGGATGGAAGCGGTAACCGATCTAATAAATGAGAAGAGGAGAATTTTTGGACAATGACATCAGGATGAATCCCTAAGGTTACTTCTAGAGCTTTAATATTTAATATTCATGAAGGCCAGTCAGGATATTAGGATTTGGGATACTTCTCTGAAAGTATCTTATCTAGTGAACTACATGGAATTCAGTGTATCATCTGTAGAAGAGATTAATTGTCTCTCCTGGTTCCACTGAATCTAGGTACAGTATTTACAACCTGATGCACAGAACACTAATGAATTAGTAATCAGTAGCAAGTCAAATCAGTTTTTCCCAGAATTTGAATGATTTTTATTTTTATGATATTTGCCTTAAATTAGCTGCCTTAAAACATTTTATCTAACTCTCAAACCCCCAGGTATCATTGATAAATTCATTCCATATATTAAATACACAATTACAGTAAGTCACTAAACTTCAGGAATCGACTTTTGTATCAGTTGGGTTTTCTTCCTCTGATTCAGCCGTGATATTCATTGCAGCCTAACAGCAAAAGAAAGAAAGAAAGAAAAAAGAATTACTCACCAATATTAACAGAAATTGATAAAAAGTGCTACAAACCAAAGCAAACAGAAACAGTGTTTAGACAACCTTCAGCAAGACTATGCATTCTCCTATTCAGTGAAATAACACTTTAGTTTTAATTCACCTCTACCATCAACAAGACAGACTGTATAGAGACAATTATCCCAAGCTAACAAAGGGCACTGAAGGGTGCAAGTGTGTACAATACTGTAAGAATATTGATCTGGTCCCACAATTTTTAAGTAAACTCACTGACAATATCTTTCCAGAATGCAAAAAGAATGTGTCATCACCAGACTAACGCTTACACAACTGTGAACCTAATTTATATGCCTAACACTGGGTAATGACATAGGTATATGGCTACACATATAATTATTACTCATTTGTATATCTGATTACCCAGTGTGCATGTGCAAATGCAGTAATAACTATACACCAAATATGCCTGCAGTTGCATGCATATGATTACATGAGCTTAACTGTGAAAACCTGACTTCAAATGTATTCTTAGCTACATTAAAAATAAGAGCCACCTGTAAAACATTTGTAAAATAACAGGCTGTTATTACATGAAAAACATGTTAACAAAAATTCCTCACACAATGTAAAGTCAAAGCTGAAATTACATTACTGACAATAAAATAAGATGGGCAAGACAACTTAATGTAATTCAAAGAAAAAAAAATCTGGCAACAGCATACTGGAACTACAAACAGTCTTTACCAGTATCTTGACTTAAACAATCAATTAAAACAAAATATATTCGGTTACTTAAAGACTTATTTCAAAAATGTTGAATTGAAAAGTGGGATCTAACACATTCTTTTGACCATCAAAAGACATATGTAATTGGATACATTTGACTACTAGTGGCTGGCCCAAGAGATATTGTTATACACACTGCGATGACTTGCACAAGTCAAAATTTGATTCATGTTCTCTCACTTCCCTGTAGTGACAGATGCAAGGAGTATTGTGAGAACCGTGTGCTTTAGCACACCAGGAAAAGAAAGAGCCTCTAATTACTCTCAAGATTCACCTCCAGCTGATTAAATTAGCACTTATCATAGCCATATGATCAGAGAGGCAAGGGGAGGCAGCTGCTCCCCTGGGAATATTGAAACTTTCATTTGGAAAAAAATGTTGAATGTACAAAGTTTGAAATTTAAGGATTTCCTTTACCACATTGGCTCCATCACCGTTTCCTCAACTGCTGAAACAGGGGCACAGCTGGGGGAAAATGAAGCAGGGCCAGAGAGTTCCTATAATCAACTCATCCTTGGCTGTGGGAATGGCCTGTGGCAGCCAACAACCAGAGAGCGCATTCCAAAGGCTGCTCTAACATGCACTGGGGATCAAGCTCTCTTCAGGAGGTCTGGAAAATACGGCCCAAATACTCTCTTTTAGGCCATAATGGAAGTGCTAACACAGCCTTAACTGTATAGGCATCAGTGGGGACAGAAAAATCTCTATGCAGGGATTACTTAGACTTTTTTTTCCCCTGGTACTTACATCAGATTGCCCGCTCTCATCTATCTCCTCAACTCGGGTCAAATTAGGGGCTCCATATTTATCTGTAAGCTCAGCTAATGTCCTTGATTTATCCTCCAGTTCCTACAATTGAATTACAAAGCTTCCTGTGAGTCATTAGTAATTCTGTTAATTTTGTCACAAATGTATTTAAGAACTCTGAATATATGTCAAAGAACCTTAGTATGCACTATAAACTAATGAAAATAAACAGATGCCATAGAGTAGAGATTTATGGAAACAAAGCCCTGGCATAAATAAATTAAGTGTGAAAAAGGTCTATGTATTACTGTTAGGGCTAATATTAGTTATTATTAGAGGAGTTTAAACAATTTTAGGTTTTCATGTAGTATAAAGTTTGATATTTAGATAGTGATACATTGTCAATATTTTGACAAAATGATCTGAAAAAAGTGTTCTCCTTTAGATTGTGATGAACCCCATATACTAGAGGCTGGTCTATACTTAAAAGTTTTATCAGTATAGTCATGCCAGTTGGGGTGTGATTTTTTTTTATGACATACCTGTAAAAGCCGTATGTAGACAAAGGTATACCAACAGAAAGATCCCTTATGACGGTATAACTTATTTTGCTTCACAAACCAGAATAAGCTATACTGGTATAAACACTTTTATACTAGCATAAGTGTATTCAGAGTAGGAAGGTTTACTGTGTTAGGTACACAAAGCTAAAGCAACAAGACTATTAGTGTAGACAAATCCTAGGTGTGTTTGCATTTACAAATAACATTCACTTGTGTTCCCATTTAAACAAAAACACTCTCATAACCATAACTAAGGAAGACTGCAGCACCACTAAGCAAACAAATGTATACTAAGCTGCACTCTGAAACCATTTATACTTGGTTACGAAAAATATACCGAAGAGACTGATAGTCCAGCCCAGTGTCTAACTCGGGAAGTTTGAAATGAAGCTGGAGGGCTAGACATGCATCCCAGAAATGTTCTTTCACAGACTTTGACAGTTTGGTCAAATGTCCATAGGCTAAAAGTAAACATACACAATTCCTGCACTGATCAGGGAGGATGTTTGACATCTAAGCATAGATCTTGGAAAAGCTAGTTGGTGATCTGTGACATTATCTAATTATTATTATTATTACTATTATTATTAACGGAACTTTGTCAGACCTCTTCAGCTTTTTGCTGCAAGGACAGCTCTTCTGCTTTCTTTTTCTCTACCCTTTCTACTTCCAGCTGAGCCTCCTCACGTTCTTGTTCCAGCTGAGCCTGCAGTCATTTTATGGAAGCAATATAACATGGACACATTGAGAAAAAAAGTCAAACTACAGTAGGATGACCTATGTTGGTGTTAAAGTTTACAAAGCAGAGGTTTTATATACAGTAACTCCTCGCTTAATGTTGTAGTTATGTTCCTGAAAAATGAGACTTTAAGCAAAACGATGTTAAATGAATCCAATTTCTCCATACGAATAAATGTAAATGGGGGGGTTAGGTTCCAGGGAAATTTTTTTCACCAGACAAAAAACTATATTATGTGTGTGTGTATATATATATATATATATATACACACACACACACACAGAGAGTATCAGTTTTAAATAAACAATTTAATACTGTACACAGCAATGATGATTGTGAAGCTTGATTGAGGTGGTGGAGTCAGAAGGTGGAAGAGGGTGTGATATTTCCCAGGGAATCCCTTACTGCTAAATGATGAACTAGCACTTGGCTGAGCCCTCAAAGGTTAACACATTGTTGTTAATGTAGCCTCACACTCAACAAGGCAGCACGAATGGAGGGAGGGAAGACAGCATGGGAGATAGAGACACACACCCTGTGTGTGGGAGAGAGAGAGAGATGCACATTGCCCCTTTAAGTATGCTGATGCCACTCTAAGTACACTGCCTATTTAAGTATATCAGGAAGTTGAGACAGCAGCTGCGGCCTCAAGCTCTCTCCCCCCTGAGCCCTGTCCTGTCCCCACCCTGCTCTATATTGAGAAGGGGTAAGCAGGAGGGGCAGGAGCAGGAGGACACCCTGACATTAGCCCCCCTCTTCCTCCCTCCCTGCACAGCAAGCAGGAGGCTCCCGGGAGCAGCTCCAAGGCAGAGGGCAGGAGCAGCATGTGGCAGTGGGGGGAGGGACAGCTGAACTGCTGGCAATTGATAGCCTGCTGGGTGGCTGCGGCACAGGGAACTTAGGGGAGCGGGGAGCTGATGGGGGGTTGCTGGTCAACCCTAGTTCCAAGCCCCCACCAGCTAGCTGCAACGAGCTGCTCTTCCTGCAAGCAGTGGACAAAGCAGGCGGCTGCGAAACAACTCTATAAGGGAGCATTGCGTAATTGATCAGCAACACAATGAAACAACTTTAACCAGGATGACTTTAAGTGAGGAGTTTGTATGTACTTTTTTTCCGAGGGACAAGATGGATGAGGTAATATATTTTATTGGACCAACTTCTGTTGGTGAAAGAGACAAGCTTTCGAGCTTACACAGCTCTTCTTCAGGTCTGGGAATTACTCATAGTGTTACAACAAAATACAAGATGGAACAGATTGTTTAGCATAAGTAGTTAACATATTTCAAGGAAGCTTAAATTCATAACTTTACTAGACACTAAAAATCATGGACTGAATAGAGACACTAGATTTATGGCTCATTGCAACAATCACCCACTAGCAACCCCCCACGTTCATTTTCTCCCCATGGTTGGAGGGATGTTAACGGACCACCGGTAAAGGTTCATTTACCTTGAATGGTCCCTTGAAGTATGTGTTAACTACTTATGCTAAACAATCTGTCCCATCCTTACAGTCCTTCGTTTTCAGTTTTTATTTTATTTATTTTTTCCCGGGAATTTATCGGTGTTTATTACTGTAACAACAAAAACAGCTGAAAATCAGTGCAAAAACTTTTACTAATTTTTTTGGGTAAATAGTGGGATTTATTTTAGTGGACGGAAGGATAGGGAGGAAAAGCATTCAATAGATTAATGCGTTCATGAATGGAAATCAATGTGGTTTACTGCAGAACTAAAACAGAACTCAAAACACAATGCCACCTCTGAGTTCAAGAAAACAATATATCGCTAATCCCCAAATAAAGCTTTTCATAGGAAGAAGCAGCTTACTGTTGTAGACTTAGAACAATTAGTCTATAAATATTTACATTTAGTAATTGGGCCCAATATTTTAAAATATTTATAAACACTCATTGTGAGGTCCTTCAGTGTAATTTCCAAAAGTCCTGCGTAGCGTAGGCTTACAGCAATATTTTTAAGCAGTCTTTGCCCAGGCCCATTTTCCTACAGTCTTGGATGTAGTTGAATTTCAAAAATACTCTCTCTATATCAACCGAGACAGGTGGGACACTGAGGATGCGAGAGAGAGCACGGCTCAAAGTTGGACAGTCAGTGTGGTGGATTTCCCAGTATTCAAGAGGAATTCAACCATGATGGCATGGTTGTCTGGGGAAGGCATTGCCATATAGGCACAGAATTCACTTTCTAGTTTTGTACTTTCTTCTTTAGAAGCCACAAAAGGGGAGATTATACAAGCATACTCTTTAAATTTATCAGCTGAGGCCACCCTTTACGATGAGGGTCAAACAGCACAATGACTTTCCAGAATGATGAGTCTCTCTGAAAAGCTGTAGGGGACATATTGCGAGCATCAGTAGCTTCCCACTTCTTTGACAGCTCTTCATAAAAACTTTTGAAATCTTTTGCAAGGTGGTCCTTCTCAGTGACTGGCAACACAGATATGAAAAAAAAAATTTCTGGAATCTCCCCAGATGTGCTTTTGTGAGAAAGTTCTGCTGAGAGATTGTTAACCAGAATGCCAGACACCTCTGTATTAGAAAATGCAACATCTGTTAAAGAACTCGATTCCAATTTCTTCTGTGCTTCATGTAGTGGCTGAAGTGTTTCAATCAGGAATTTGAGTTTTGTACAAACGTTTCAAGGTTCCTCCCCCACTCTGAACTCTAGGGTACAGATGTGGGGACCTGCATGAAAAACCTCCTAAGCTTATCTTTACCAGCTTAGGTCAAAACTTCCCAAAGGTACAAAATATTCCACCCGTTGTCCTTGGAATGGCCGCTACCACCACCAAACTAATACTGGTTACTGGGGAAGAGCTGTTTGGACGCGTCCTTCCCCCCAAAATACTTCCCAAAACCTTGCACCCCACTTCCTGGACAAGGTTTGGTAAAAAGCCTCACCAATTTGCCAAGGTGACTACAGACCCAGACCCTTGGATCTTAAGAACAATGAACAATCCTCCCAACACTTGCACCCCCCCTTTCCTGGGAAATGTTGGATAAAAAGCCTCACCAATTTGCATAGGTGACCACAGACCCAAACCCTTGGATCTGAGAACAATGAAAAAGCATTCAGTTTCTTACAAGAAGACTTTTAATAAAAATAGAAGTAAATAGAAATGAAGAAATCCCCCCTGTAAAATCAGGATGGTAGATATCTTGCAGGGTAATTAGATTCAAAAACATAGAGAACCCCTCTAGGCAAAACCTTAAGTTACAAAAACGATACCCAGACAGAAATAGTTATTCTATTCAGCACAATTCTTTTCTCAGCCATTTAAAGAAATCATAATCTAACACATACCTGGCTAGATTACTTACTAAAAGTTCTAAGACTCCATTCCTGGTCTATCCCCGACAAAGACTGACTATAGACAGACACACAGACCCTTTGTTTCTCTCCCTCCTCCCAGTTTTTGAAAGTATCTTGTCTCCTCATTGGTCATTTTGGTCAGGTGCCAGCAAGGTTACTTTTAGCTTCTTAACCCTTTACAGGTGAGAGGAGCTTTCCCCTGGCCAGGAGGAATTTCAAAGGGGTTTACCCTTCCCTTTATATTTATGACAAAAGGCTTTGCCTAATTTCTTACATAGTTGCTTGAGATTTCAGCTTTATGGCTTTTCCACTGTTGAACTCTTTGTGATGTAAAAGTTGCATTAATACACCTATTGCATTCTGAACACTCAGTGCAGCCAAATACAGACTAAACCATCTTGTTGGTACAACTTGAACTGAAATGCTGCATTCAAGTGCGATCTCTTTGCAAACATCATAGAAGATTTTTATTTGAATGCTTGAAAACTGCACCAGCATCTATTATGAAATTTTTTAAATCGGCCATTCTGGGAACCTCTGTTGCAAGAGAGATAGTAACATGCAGCAGGTGAGCTGGGTAAGACAAAGCAATTTAGGTTTTTCATTCAGCTTTACATCTTATGTGAACTTCGCACAGTAAGAAGCCGAGTCAGAATTCACTGTAGCTCAAATCCTTCCATAAAAGTGCATATTCATTTAAAGTTTTACTGACACAAGCTGCGACTGTTTGACTGCTGACTTTTTTACAAACTCCATATCTGCCAAAATGAGTGTAGGCTTCTCCAAAACAAAATGAAAAATGAAAACAAAATCACCAGGATTGGGCGGTCGAGAACATCTGACGAGTCATCAAAAATCAAAGAACTAACTGTATTTCCAATCAACCTCTCTTTAATTTTGTTGGTCAGAGCAACATCATTCTCCTCCAAATATTTCTTCATCATATTGATTGAATTTGGCGAAGATTTTGCTGTTGGACAGAAATTTCATATAAAATCCTCCAAAGGACCATCAGCAAGGCTTAGTGGCTGCACTGTAAAGCAGATGGCATGTATAAATTACTTATTAGATCATTTTGATCTCACTCTTGCCGTGCCCAGATGAATGCTGATTCCAATGTTTGCTTGTTTCTGTTTTCACCTTCTTGTTTTAGTCTTAAGTGTCATTTGCTCTCCAAATGTTCTTTAGTCCGGTTGGCCTGAGTGTCGGCTATGATGCCACACCATTTGCAGCACATACACTCAACTTCATCCTTTTCTCAAGTTTTTGTTTTTTTTAAAACTTTTGAATACTTCCTTACTTTTGAATACTTCCTAAGAATTATGAAACATATTCTCATTTTCATTTTTTTCCCATCTTTAAACCGTTATCTGCTAACAGCTTGAAATGTGTACACGGTGGATGTGAGATTCATCAGGACATTTAGATGTGCATGCACTTCAGAGCTTGCGTGCGTGCCTGTTTGTTTATTGTGTGTATTTTCTAGACTAATATATAGCCTTAGTTCAACAGGCAGCTTTCCGTATACACACAAACTAATGTATTATCATAATACATATATCTCATGCAATGTACTGTATTTTCCTAATAAAACACGGGTTTTTTTGTATGTTTGAATGATACAGAAAAAAAGA